AAACCAACCTCGCCACTGTGAACTGGAGAAGCCTGGTTGTTCGCCTGCTCCCTTTGGACTATGGCCCTGCAGGTTAAACCATTTATTTCCCCTGCAGAAAGGCTTATTTGTGTGATCTGAGTGCCATTCATCTAATAATGTGCACTCAGATCCCAGCTATCTGGGGATATGTGAAATGTCTGTGTGTTATGTGTAAATGTGACTTTATGTATTTTAAAGTGTTTTTGTGTCTTTTTGCAACCATGTGCTTAATGGAGTCTTGTGTCTATCCTGGGAGATAATTGAATTACTCTCCAGGATAGAAGACTCTGAAACTGGTTTGGGCCAGAAAGCCATACTTCATTTAGTCACAAAGGACTTTCCCTTAACTTTTGAACCCCTGGTCTGATTCGTGCCATTTTTTAATATGTTGTTCCCCTGAATGGATTGATTGTGAATATGTAATTTTATGTGAATGTGATGTATGGTTTTAAAGTTATGAAAGTTGGGTAGAAAGTATGTTTTAACTGTATGTGTAATTGAGTTTCCTCTCAGGATAGGGGGAGGGAATATGTGGGATGTAACTGATATGTGATTGGTTGTTTTATACCTCCCTGTGGGCGGTCCTGTATGTGAAAGGCTGTAATAAAAACCAGGCTGGGTGTGCCAGCACAGAGTTCCTGTTTTAACCCTCAAAGTGAAGTGTCGTCTCATTATTGGGGGAAGGATTTATTGTATGCTGTTCCAGTTTGACTGCTAGGAGAGTAAACCTATTCGTATGGTTCCTATTCAACTGTCTACAGTATTCATATGCTTGGGAGAATTTATTTGTTTCTCCGGTTCGGTGATTGTGGTGTCTGCCAGAGTGCTTGGAGTCCTCAGGAAGCGCTAGGAGCATCTTTCAACGGAGGTACCCAGTCGGGGTGCCAGGTGATCCGTTACAGTGTGTATTCAGCAGTGTGTGTGTGTGTGTGTGTGTGTGTGCGTGTATTCAGCAGTCTGTGTGTGTTTGCGTGTATTCAGCGGACTGTGTGTGTGTACTCCGCAGTCTGTGTGTGTGTACTCCGCAGTCTGTGTGTGTGTACTCCGCAGTCTGTGTGTGTGTATTCAGCAGTCTGTGTGTGTGTATTCAGCAATCTGTGTGTGTACTCTGCAATCTGTGTGTGTACTCTGCAATCTGTGTGTGTGTGTACTCTGCAATCTGTGTGTGTGTGTACTCAGCAGTCTGTGTGTACTCAGCAGTCTGTGTGTGTTTGTACTCAGCAGTCTGTGTGTGTGTATTCAGCAATCTGTGTGTGTGTGTACTCAGCAATCTGTGTGTGTGTGTGTACTCAGCAATCTGTGTGTGTGTACTCAGCAGTCTCTGTATTTAGCAGTCTTGTGTGTGTGTGTGTGTATTCAGCAGACTGTGTGTATGTATTGCATTTGTTGGAGATACTAATAAATATAAGCTTAATTTTATCTATTTATATCATTATTTAAAATTTGTATCATTGAACTGTGTTCTTTTAAAACAAAAGTTATTAGTTCGGACAACAGTACGAGTTGTTTTTTTCTAAACTTAAACATAGAAACATAGAAACATAGACTGTGACGGCAGATAAGAACCATTCGGCCCATCTAGTCTGCCCAATTTTCTAAAAACTTTCATTAGTCCCTAGCCTTATCTTATAGTTAGGATAGCCTTATGCCTATCCCATGCATGCTTAAACTCCTTTACTGTGTTAACCTCTACCACTTCAGCTGGAAGGCTATTCCATGCATCCACTACCCTCTCAGTAAAGTAATACTTCCTGATATTATTTTTAAACCTTTGTCCCTCTAATTTAAGACTGTCCTTTTGTTGTGGTAGTTTTTCTTCTTTTAAATATAGTCTCCTCCTTTACTGTGTTGATTCCCTTTATATATTTAAATGTTTCTATCATATCCCTCCTGTCTCGTCTTTCCTCCAAGCTCTACATGTTAAGATCCTTTAACCTTTCCTGGTAAGTTTTATCCCGCAATCCATGAACCAGTTTAGTAGCCCTTCTCTGAACCCTTTCTAAGGTATCAATATCCTTCTGAAGATACGGTCTCCAGTACTGTGTACAATACTCCAAGTGAGGTCTCACCAGTGTTCCTGGCAATGGCATGAGCCTCCCCTTCTACTGCTAATACTCTCCTATACAACCAAGTATCTCTGCTAGCATTTCCTGCTGCTCTTATTACACGTCTGCCTACCTTTAAGCCACTAACACTGTGAAATAATTCCTAAATCCCTTTCCTCAGATGTTGAGGTTAGAACCTCTCATCAAATATTCTGTACTCTGCCCTGGTTTTACGTCCAAGATGCACATCTTGCACTCCCCACCACATTAATCAGTTGCCACAAATTCTAATCATTTTTCAGCTACCTAAATCATTCGTTTGGCCACATCCTTCCTGTAACATCAACACTGTTACATATCTTAGTATCATCAGCAAAGAGACATACCTTACCATCAAGACCTTCTGCAATATCACTAATAAAAATATTAAAGAGAATGGGTCCAAGTACAGATCCCTGAGGTACCCCACTGGTGACAAGACCATGCTTCGAATATACTCCATTGACTTCAACCCTCTGTTGCTGTCACTCAGCCATTGCCTTAGCCATTCAACAACATTGGAATCCAAACTTAAAGATTGCAGTTTATTGATAAGCCTTCTATGTGCAACAGTGTCAAAGGACTTACTGAAATCTAGGTAAGCAATGTCTACTGCACCACCCTGATCTATTATTTTAGTTACCCAATCAAAGAAATCAATAAGATTAGTTTGGCATGATCTCCCTGAAAACCTATGTTGTTCTGGATCTTGAAATCCATGTGTTTTAGGATGTTCATCATCCATCTCAATGGTTTCACCACTTTCCCACTACTGAAGTAAGGCTTACTGCCTATAGTTGCCCGACTCCTCCCTATTACCTTCTTTAAAAGGCACAACATTCGCCACCGCAATCTTCTTGGGACTACCCCTTCTGTTAATAATGATTGGTTAAATAAATCTGTTAATGGTTTTGCTAGTACACCACTAAGCTCTTTTAATAGCTTTGGGTGTATTCCATCAGGTCCCACTGACTTATTTGTCTTTACTTTTGACAGTTGAAATAGAACCTCTTCCTCTGTAAACTCACGTGTAATAAATGACTCATTTATCCTTTTTCTCAACTGAGGTCCCTTTCCTTCATTTTCTTCTGTAAATACAGAATAAAAATATTAATTGAGGCAGTCAGCCTGACCTTTATCCTCTTCTACATACCTTCCTTCTTTTGTTTTTAATCTAACTAATCCTTGTTTTACTTTTCTTTTCTCATTTATGTATCTAAAAAATGTTTTATCCTCCTTTTTTACTGACTGTGCTATTTTCTCTTCTGTGTGTGATTTTGGAAGCTTCTTATATAACTTGCTTTTAGCTTCTTTCTGCTCTAATTACAGATCATTTCGTTCCTCCTCACTGTTTTTTATAATTCCTAAATGCTAACTTTTTTGTTTTTAACTATTTTGGCCACATCTGCGGAGTACCACAGTGGTTTCTTGAATTTTTTGCTTTTACTGACAAGCCTAGTGCAATTTTCTGTTGCCTTCAATAGTGCAACTTTTAAATAATCCCATTTTTCTTGGACTCCATTTAAATTGCTCCAGTCTGATAATGACTCCTCTACCCATATTTTAATTTTAGAAAAGTCTGTTTTTCTAAAGTCTAAAACTTTTGTTTTTGTGTGGTGTGACTCAGTCACTGTTCTTATATTAAACCACACTGACTGATGATCACTGGATCCTAAACTATCACCTACAGTAACATCTGATACCAAATCTCCATTTGTTAACACTAAATCTAGTATGGCCTCTTTACGAGTTGGCTCCTCAACAACTTGTTTTAGAGACAATCCCAGTAGGGAGTTTAGACTATGTGTGCTCCTGGCACAAGTAGCTAATTTTGTTTTCCAATTTATAACAATTTGTCCTGGGGGCCTATAAATATAGGGGGCCTATAAAATGTATTTAAACTAGGAGGGGGGGCCTACACGAGTTACTGTGTGATTACCAAATTCTAACGTAGCCCAAACGGACTCTATGTTTGCCTCACTAACTTTTATTAGGCTAGATTTTATGCTATCCTTCACATACAAGGCCACCCCTCCCCTTTCTTGCCTTCCCTATCTTTCCTATATAAAGAGTACCCTGGTATTGCTATGTCCCAGTCATTTTTCTCATTGTACCATGTCTCAGTAACAGCGACTAAATCTACACTATCAGTTGCCATTATTGCCACAAATTCATGGATCTTATTCCCTAAACTGCGAGCATTTGTAGACATGACTCTAAGCTTATCATTTTTAACACACTTGCTACAGGCACCTTCTGTCCTTGTTTTGGGGGACAATTGGATTGATGTTTAATCACCCTTTTGCCCCCCCCTCCTAGTTTAAATACATCCTAGCAAAACCTCTGAACTGCTCACTGAGAATATTTGTTCCCTTTTGAGAAAGATGCAAACCATCTTTTTTGTACAGCTTATCTCCATTCCAAACAGAGCTACCATGAGAAATAAAGCCA